AAGCCCAGTCACTCAATTTGCCTCAGCAACCGGGCTTAGATTCAGGATGTGGGATCGATATTGATTTCTCTGCCCTTGGCTGCTGTATTTCGGCTTGAACAGCACCAGTCTTCTTTGCCTTGCGCATGTAACACTCAACAAGAGCGCCGCTGCTTCGGCACCCCGAGCACACCAACGATGGACTTGGAGTTCCACACTGACTTGATCTGTATAGGCTTACGTAGCCATGCCAACGTCATTCACGTTGCAGGTTGTTCTGCTAACCCTACCCAACACTCATCATTATTTCCAGGACCGGAACGGTGAGCTGGGGCGTTCCGCACCCATCCGGCAAGCTCGCACAGACGCAGACAAGCACACACCTCTGAAGGAAGTCTCCGTCCCAGGCACCTACAAGCCACAGACTGGAGAAGGAACTGGACAGTCGTAGCAAAAGCGCTCCAAGAGGCTAGCCGCCACATGTCAGACGAGCTGCCGAACACGGTATAATCCCAGCCCATCCCATCCCGGCGATTGGACAGCATCTTCTGCATTGTTAGAAGTGAGCTGCCACTTGTCGGACGCACCCAGCCCAACCTTGTCACTGGACCCTCCAGCTGCATGTTAGGTGACCTGAAGCACTCCTGCCCAAAGCCAGCAATTCAACACCGCCAACCCGCGGAGACAGCACCTCCGCCAGCAGCATTGACATCACGGACATCTTTCATCCAGAGCAGACCACCCAAAATCATCACCGTCACATCACCACTCTCATCACCATTATGTTGCTCCTCACCGCCTTCTTTTTCAAGCTGTAGCCCACAGCATCGTCTGGATAGTGCATAGCTCAACCGTTTGCCAAATGAAACGCACGGAGCCGAGATCAAAGTGGTAATGGTGATGCAGGACATTATGGTGGTGCTGTCGTTAACTGCAGCGACGCCGGCAAAAGAATGATAATGGTGATGACGACGACGAGGATGACGATGATGCTGACGAGTTTATGGATGTTTTTCGTGATAGCGCTACACATGTGCCATTATGCTCCATCACCAGTACCTACCGCTAGAGACACCGCAGAGCTTGTGGTCGAATTGCCTCATCATGGCCTAATCGTGGTACACACGACACAGGCCACAGACTCACAAGCTCACACGCACACACAGTTGTCCGGACCCAAGACAGCTCGGCCACGTGCGGCGAGGCCCTTCGCCACATCGCGGAAATGGTCCAAACGCCGAAGGAGCTCCTGCTCCAGAAGGGCTGTGCAGGAGACACGAAAAACAGAAGACTCGTGCGAGGTTTTAGGTGAGGCTTGAAGTTGGGAAGAGGTGGGTCTGATGTTTTGGTTCTCGGATTGCAGCTCGAGTGGGTGGAAGACAGCCGAATGCGAAAAATGCGAGCTCTTCTTCGATTGAAGCGGTTGGGATGTTTTGGGGGAACCTTGGGAAGTTTGGGATGTCCCTTTACCCCATCGAATCCATGTCTCCACGGATCCCTTGAAGACAACATGAACGACTAGAATAGGATATGACACAATGTACCAAAAGATACTACAACATACCATAATATACTCTGCTATACTACAGTATACTAAAACTTACAGATACTGTATCATACTATACTACGATATAATGTGATGATAGCACTTCTTTATTCGTCATCCGATGATCGGCTCTCCTTGCTAACACACAGTCGATCCTTCGAGAAGAATCTGATGACCCTGAAGCGACTCTCCCACAAGGCTTAGGGTTTAGGTTTAGGGTTTAGGCTTAGGGCTGTCTTGTTGCCACGTTCGGCTCAGGCTGTCATGACTATTGCAAGAGTATCGCTCAGACCATGGCGTATGCTTGCCTCTGAAGCTGCGAATGCACTGCCAGCAAGACCAAAGCCGCTTCTGATGTGTCCCGTCGTCTAGAAACGCTCACCCACTTCTCCTCTGCAAAGGCTTGAAAACATGTGCTAAAAGCCGCACGACTAGCTCTGCGCGTAGCATGCGCAGTGCGCCTCTGGGTATGTTTCCTCGGAGAAGATGGCAAGATCCTGGCTCCCCCAAGACCCGCAGCTTTGAGTGCCAAAGCTGGGGCTTCATCTACTTTAATTATACTATAATGCACTATACGATACTATACAATTCTGTACAATGTTACGCAAATCATGCCATAAATACACAACTTGTATGAACATAAAGGCCTTCAGCACTTTCGGGCGGCTTCGCAATTCGTGGATGGCGAGGCCCGAGCAAGCAAAGCTCCGAATTTGCCCTAGGTTAATAGCATTCCCATTACAATCAGCTGTCGCGGGGCCCAGCAGTGGAGGTCCGCTAAACACCACTGCAACACCTGAGATGCACCTGTTCCCCCATAAACCATCAGCGCATGAGCTGGAGGGGCCCATTTCAACTTCAGAGACCCTCCAGCCTGCCGCTGCTGTAGCCGGCAAACCAGGTCTCCCATCTGTCGGAGCTCGGGGAGTTTGAAGGAGTTTACTTCAGCTCATGGCTCGAGCTTGGGTACCGGATCAGCACGAGGGTTTTAAGAGCTCCTGTTGAGCATGTTTTTCAAGCAGCCCGAAAGAAGAAGAGTGGAATCCCGAATGCCCTAATGCCACCCGTGCAGAAGGCCGAAAAGAGCTTCATGCCAAAAGGCTCTTCTGTACGTAGCCTCTGCCCAAACCCAGCTTGATTCACATAGGCCGCTCCTGCTCCACCAGCAGGCCCACTTCATCCGCCTGGTACGACAGCTGGGGTTTCCGCTGTTTGGAAGCTGGAATTCCTTGTTTGGGGTTGGTTGGGGCGCGCCACCACGTGTTTAGAAGCCGCGACAACAGCCTCTTTTGATGCACTCCATCCAGAGCTCTGACCCAAGAATCACAGAAGAACCGGATGACAGGCTAGGACAAAGTCTGGCCAAAACTCTAAAGCAATAACAATAAGCCAAAGTGAAAAAGGGCACCACCAGATGCAACCCGAGCTGGAAGCTCTGCAAAAATGGACCTGTTGGAGCACCTTCGATTGGGAAGAAACCCCTTCCTTCACAGCTTATGAGAAATGCGCATGACCAAGGTCCCCGGTCCTTTACGCAAAAAACCGTGGTTCCATGAACCACAAAATCGTGAAAGTAGCATCGTCTATTCACTCTGTCAGAAGCTAGAGCGCGAGCCTTGGCGACCCCTGAACTGACTCCATCCTGCACGGGGGGCTTAGGCCTCTAAGGAGTTCGGGCTGAGCATCCAGGATGTTTGGGGTTCTGAACGGCTCTTTTTTAGCAGGTTTGGGGCTGGTGAGCATCATCTTGTAGCTAAATGGCTTGCAAGCGAGCTTCTGTTTAGCTGCCTGTGGCTTGCTACGTCGGCCAGGGCAGACTTTCGAGTTCAAGAGGGCTCGGGATTTGATGTTCCTGACGTGTCAAGGCATAACCCTCCAAGGACTCGACACTTGGATGCGCGACGGATGGAGCACGGACGACCAAAGTTTCACAGCAAAATTGTGTCTCGGCTACCCCTTGGTCTACCGCTACCGTCTTCTTGCTTCTGCCATGGCCACCCGGAGCCCAGGGCTAAAGGCCGCAGCCCTCGACTCGCTGCCACCACTCCCAAAACCGGAATCTTGCATCCCAGACCTGAAACCTTGAGAAACGACCCACTGCCCACCAGGCATCCTCCTCGGGGCCCGCTGCATCCAAGGCCGGCGGCGATTGAGCTGAAGGAAGCGTGGCTGGTGACACGAAGTCACGTTACATTCGACTCTGCTACACGACTACGCTGCGTTATGGATATTTCTGTGGGTCGTAGTCTCAGAGTCTCCTTTCGTTTTGCACCAAGGAACCCTTCAGGCTTCTCAGATGGTGAGATCAACGAGGCCCAGCACAGAGCTCTTCGTTCCGCCTTTCGGCTTTGGGGACCAGGGCCTTGTCTGAGGAAGTTACCTGACAGATCCCTACGTGGTCTCTGGGACGATACGATGCGTCGTAGTTTGGTTCTAGCGATGGCTACAGCGACCGCAGAAAGTCGAGTCACTCAGCCTGCTCCTTCGGAAGAACCTGCAGATGTAAATCCCAGTACTGACCTGCAGCGTGTCCGGGTGGAAGATCCAAGGACGGAGGCGGCTGGAAGGGGTTCAGCTGTGCCTGGGCATTGCCAACGTTTGCCGCTCTTGCACACACGCACACACAAACACACATGCATCCATGCATGCCTTTGTGTCTTGCGCATGCACATGCATGCCCGAAGTGCGACGGCTCTGTGCACTTAGCAACTTGCATGTCACGAGCCTTCATGTTCATGCGATCCCCAATACGCACACCCAGACCTGAGTTTTCTGACTGGCCAGCCTCTGCCAATGCTTCGGAATTTCTTCTCTCGCCAAGCCACGATCAGAGGCGAAAACCGCTGTCTCGGGCTTGCCTGGCGCTGGCAGAAACCGCCATTTTCACTGTGGGACGGAGGAGTTTCGGATTACCTCGTCGAGTTCTTACTACTTGGGACGGGTATCCTCCCTGGCGATGCTTTATCAAATCATGGACAGGTCTGTTCTTTCCGGCACGGGGCTCGGGAGAATCTGACAGCCTTGCGAGGATTGTGAAAATTTACCAACCGCCGACATTTGCACTCGACACGGCTCGCGATGGCATGCAGATCCAGCAAACCAGAAACCTCTCGCACGAAGCTCGCGGTTCACGCCTGTGAGCTCCTCCGTGACAGCCCTGGCTGATCGGACTCGAGGTCGGCGAGTCCCTGGAAGCTCTTTCTTTTACGAGGAGGCAGCAAATTGGTGTGTAAACCAACGCGGTACACATGACTGCGCACTACGCTACGAGAGAACACCGCCAGCCATTTACGACTTCTGGTGAGGAGGTCGCAGTCACGCTGATTGCTACCCCTGCTCGTCGACGTGAGCGTGCACGGGGCAGAGTTTCAAGTGAAGCAGTCGCCAGGTTCCGGCACTGCGAGGGAGAATGTGTGCCTCGTCTTAAGACGTCATCTGTATAATCATTTGGCCTGAAACCTTCGAGAAGCCCTCAACTCACGGCATGGCCGGCAGTTTGTCTCCGTCTTCGTCTTTGACTGAATGGTTGTTTCTTCAGGAGACCTGACCGGACGTCCTTTGCATGAATACGGATGCTGAGGTCGGCCACTCGGTTTATGCGTGCCATACAGCGCCTCCTATCCACTACTCCACCTCCGAGTAAGCAGTGCGTGCACGATCCTGCCACCTGCTCCTCTCGTATGAAACGTTTGCTGTTGTCGGTCTTGCTGGGCTCCTGGCCAACTTCGAAACATCGATACGGGTGGATGCTGTGGCGAACGCTCCGCCACCGCCACCCTGTGTCGCGGATTCGTGAGGCTTAGGTCTTTCGTGCGGGCATACGCTTGCCTGTACTAGTGGGATCGAAATCTGTCAATGGCCGAAGCACATCCCGCGGATATGCTAAGAAAAAGACAACATGATCAAAGGCAAACTAGGCTCGACGTTGTGCTCTGACGATCGATTCCCCTACACTTGGGGCTCCCATGGATCTTCATGAAGGAAGCATGATCTTCATGGGAATCTCCTCACCAGCTCATGGGTGAAATCATGTTCGAAGCTCCAGACCCTGGAGATGTCAGTGCCTCCACGATGGCCGATGCGACGACATTCCTTCCCAGACTCTGAAAGAGCTCATGGACTTCGCGGCAGTTGCAGGAATCGGTGCTCACGGCACTGTTCCCATGATTCTCCGGCCGGTTGCTTGGAGCTTCTGAAGGCACTGGGGAGTTTACAAAATCAAGCCTATTTGGATGGAGCTGGTCGGAGGCGTCGGCCTCTCCACATCCTCTTCATCGGACGGCATCTTCTCCTGGTACGGCTGGGTTTCAACACAGGAAGCATCCGCCAGGAAAAGTGCCAATGAGGAAACATGGCAAACTAAACGCAGCGACGGGAGGAAGCTGCTGCCGATGGTGAGGTCTCCTACAGACTGTAAGCCTCTTGCACGTGCAAGTACCTCCTCGTCGTCGCTCATTCCGAAGAGACAGATCTCGCCCTCCGACTCCGGCGGATAACGAGCCGTACCTTCAACACAGTCAAATCGGGTCGAAGTGGTCTGGGCGAGTGCTGCTAAGATGGTACAGACTGGTATGCATGTATAGGTATATGGATATGAACAGTATATATGTATGTATAAGTATGCACATACATATACACACACATACACAACATACATGTGCACATACATATATACAGATATACTGATATACTGATCCACATCTACAGATCTATGCATCTGTACATCTATACATCTATACAGCTATTTATACGTCTATACATCTTTAAAAGGATATGCATATACTCATATGTATACATGTATGTATACACATTTATACATACATATGTGTGATACGTACCTAAGCACATACATACGTATATACAGCTAGCCGCTAGCCAGCCAGCACGCAGACAGACGGACAAAACAGACAAACCACACAGTCCATCTATCCTTCGTTCTTTAGCTGCCCACATGCATGCATTCAAATATCTACCGCCGGGCGAAACCCAAAACCCTGCAGCTTCAGCCAAGGCGAACCGCTGGAGACAGAGGCCGCAGAACCACGTGCCTGGCACTGTGAGGCTGGACTAAACCTCTGGGATCCTCGGGCTGTCTGACGCTCCGCTAACTAAATGAAACTTGAAAAATCCCCGTCATTCTGCAACGATCGCAATGGTGAGTCCCAAGTATCTTGATGCTTAGAGGCCTCAGAAATACGCCCCGTATAATCCAAAATAGAGCTGGAAGCTGAAAAACACGCTGAGAATTGGGTTGTCCATTGGTAGGTAGGTAGGCCCCGGGCCATGCGCCCTGAGGACTGGAGGTCTCCGATAGAAGGCCCTCTGGAGGGATCCTGCAGAATCTTCGAAGCTGATCCACATCGCATCCGGAACAACACCGCAAGCGAAAGGGCCTAGCCCAGCCCTCAGCGCAACTCCGCAAGCTTGCTCCTCCGGGCTGACGGACCGTGATGTACCACCCGTCCCCCGGGAGCCATCCAAGGACATACTCCTGGCCAGTTTGCGGAAGCCGTACAACAAGAGAACGAGCACAAAAACAACAAACAACAAGCACCAACCAACAACCAACAGCCAACAACCAACGGCCAACGGCCAACAACACCGCCACCACCAACACCGAAGCAACAGTAACAGTGACTGCAATGGTAACAGTAACTGTAACAGCAGCAGCAACAGCAAGAGTAATAACAAGAACAATCAGAACAAGAACAAGTACAGTAAGTGTCACGAAGCAGCATTGTTCTGCCGCGACTGCTGCTGCTGATGCTGCTCCTGCTACTCCTGCTGCTCTTGCTGCTACTCCTGTTTCTGCTACTCTGCTACTCATCCTTCTAACACGACAAGAAGGTACACCAAGTCGGGTAACAGGACAGAGACGGCGGTGACGACAGCACAAAGAACGCGAATGCTACTACCATAAATCTCTTTCGAAACCACAATAGTATCCCGGTATAGTCCCGATACTGGTATAGGATAAGGCATCCAAAACCCTGCATTACGCTGTTTCCGACTCTTGGCCTCCTCCGGCCCCAGTCGGGAAGACTGCTCATCCAGATGTTGCTCAGGTCATCCAACTCTCCTGTGCCGTACTGACAGTGTTTTTCCCGAGATCATTCGATAAATGAATTCGCTAGTTCTCATAAGCATAAGCCGCCATTTTGACGTGGCTTCCCAGCCCCTCCCAAGAAGGCCGGCCTGAGGGAGTTTTCAGCGACTTGTCCTCGATAGCAACTGAATGCCTGCTGCAACCAGGGATGGCCAGCCGACTATCACTGAGGGAAGGAAACTGACACAAAGACTTCTGGCCATAGACATTGAATAACAGCAAGAACAGCCATCCTCACAAAGACCATCATCACAGCAACCATTTGTCGTCGCCATGGGCGTCTTCCTCGATTCCTCATGAACATCATCACACCTTGCTTGTCACCATCTCGATGATGCTCCTCACGCGAATCATCTTCATTGCAACTAAGCCAAGATCATGAGAAACAGTATGCAGTGTACATGTGGTTGCATTTCTCAAGGTTGCATCATGTTATCATGTACCGCCGCTTTTGTCTTGCATCAACTTGTTGCATTTAAGTTTCTCCAGAAGCCTTGCTGCACTAAGATCCCCTGTGACCGCTCTTCATTTCTACAACCTGAGTTCCTCGTGTGTGATTTCTGAGCTGTTTAAACTGCGATCCCTCCGTGCCGACTCCAAATGATCAGGCTCAAAACACAAATCTCAACTGCCGAAGCGGCGCCTCTCTGCATTGATGCCAGCGGCCCCACCTCAGTCCACCCAGGTCCACCCACTGCGGGTGTCATTGGTCGAGCTACTGCACTTGAACAGGGCAAACCCTTACCGTACCTACACAGTAACCCTTATTATCAAAGTCGCACCCCTTATTATCTTTATCATCTCATACTCGTAAACCTTACCATGCAACAGCCATCTTGGAGTTCTCACAATCTGATCCCAGTGTCCGTCTGCAAAACGCAGGCGCGCCCACAAACTGGTGGGCGAAGAGATTGTAAATGTGCTCAAAAGGCTTAATCCAAGTCCTGATCTCGAAGCTTCGACAGAATTACTCGGACATGAACTGACATCTGAATCCATGCAGGGCATCCCTCAAGACGAGCTCCAAACCCAAACCCTCTGATCCCTCCGCACTCTAAGGCACTCGCCGGAAGTCGGTTCAGCCGCAGGCTCCTGGCAGCTGGCAGGCCAGAAGGACCCTTCAATGCAGAGGGCCACTTTCGGATGTTGCTACTCGAGGTCGACGGCCCATGAATACTCAGCCAAGAACAAACCAAATGCAGCAGCTGCCTGGTTTGGAGTCGAGCATGGCGTTGGCAGGGGCGTGTGAGACCTTTACATGTAGAGACAGATGTTGATCAAGGACTCCAACCCTTGTAAGTATCAAAAATCTGCTCGCAAGCCGATGACGAGCTGTCCGGTCCAGGTCTGACCGCGTTCGCAATTCCGGCCTTGAGGAGCTCAAGGAGAGAGGATGTGTCGGCAGCGCTGCACCTATCCAGCATCACACATGGTGCGTCGGAAGAGGGTCTGAAAAAATTCAGCACGACCCTCCAAACATGCTGAGCTTCGGGTAGTGGGGTTTGAGCTTTCACTCTGCAGACGATCGGTCATGAAAATTGGCATTCGGATACACATCTCTGCAACCAGCCTGCTGCTGCCAAGGGAGGCGTCGCATCTAAGACGACTGCCTGTCGCGCAATGCGAGTTTTCCTACCGATGCAAGGCCTTTGCTGACTTCATCGTTTCTACTGCTGCCCGATTGAGAACGGGAGCCTCAGCCTCAGTCTGCTTGAGCACTTTGCATGATTTTGACCAAACCCAATTGGACTATGCAGCACACCTTCACTACCAGATCGGCTATTATCGCCCAAGAAGAGTCTGGAAAAGCCAGGTATCGAGCCGGCACGCTCGTTGATGCCGCCCTGGACGACGTGGACCTGTGACTTCGGACATATAATACCACTAGACTTTGCTTTTCGATGAGACTGTACTGACGACGAAGATTGTCATGCTCACGCTCGTCATGCCATCAATACTGCTCCGTCGTTGCAGGCGAATGCAAAGAGATTAGTCCTGAAGCTTTGAGCCGCATGCCTGGCACCGTCTCTGATTGAATTGCGCAAACGGACGCAGTAGCAAACCGATCCGACGACAACCCTGGCTTAGGCACCACGAAGACGCTGCAAAACCCTAAACCCTACACCTTGCAAATCACGCCAGTCTTTTTCCCCAACAGCATCAACCACAATCTCGCACCCTCAGCGGTGTGCGACCGCTAGCGCCACGTTGGTTCTGCCGGTGTCAAAATGGCATTGCATGGTCTGCAGCAACCAAACCTCCAAGGTTGCAAGCTTTCCCCACATATGTATTCATTCTTCGAACCCGGCAGCTCCCTCTCCGCAAGAGCGTCAAACATTATGGAACCCGAAGATGGTACTTCACTTGAA